CGTAGTACGCTCCGACTGTTTGAAATGGAGACAGGTTTCTGCGGAAAAGAGCTGGTTTCCTTTAGCTGGAGCGTCAAGCAGTGCACAACCATCTGCGAGAAATCGCCCCTCCCCGTTTTTCGCTGAGCTTCATGAGATTTATTTATTTATTTATTTATTTATTTTGAAAAGGGCAACGGCCTTGAGATATTATCATTGAGCTGACCGGCCCGAAGCAATTCATTACTCGTCAAGTTCCATCATCTGGATTCGAACACAGGTCTGTATTTCAAAAGTTCATGGGCCTACCCACTGAGCTACAGTAGTCTCTTTTTGGCTCGTTGCTTTGGATACTAGAGAAAGGTGACGCTGAAGCCGTTTTCCAGCGAGGCCAGAATGCAGCAAGGTGTGCTTTGGGACATCCGTTAAAATTGGAACGATACAGAGAAGGAAGATTAGCATGGCCCCTGCGCAAGGATGACACGCATAAATCGAAAAATGGTCCTAATTTTTATAAGAAAAAAAAAGAAAAAAAAAAAAAAGAAAACTCCGGGCTGAATTGCGGGGCCCCGATCTCTTCGATATTGGTAATAAAAGTGCAACTTTCCAAAAAAACAAAAACAAAAACAAAAACAAAAACAAAAACAAAAACAAAAACAAAAAAGAACAAAGGAAAAAGGGCCAAGTGAACCTTTCCTTCCTTGGACAGGCACTCTGAAGTCCGCCTGGCTCGTCGCGGATCCCGCGAGCGGCGGAAGAGCCGTGACGGAAACCACAACCACAGTTCCCATCGCCGCGGAGGAGGGGGCCGGCCCGTCCAGCTGTGAAGGGGTTCTACTTGATTACGACAAGCAACCCTTTCTGCCCTTTCGCTGCCGAACCGGTCATCCTGATGTGGGAGGTGTGTCCTTTCGCTGCGCTCTGGGAGAGCCCGAACCCGCGGGCGCGGGTCCGCGACCCAAGGAGGCCGGGAGGGGGCCGAGGGGGCCGAGGGGGCGGGGGGAAACAACCCACGGCAACTCGCTGGATACTCACGGTCGGACTTGTCGACAGAATTTCGGAGTGATGTCGGTCGAATACATCCCCCTCTCTGCCACCACACCATATGCCCTTCCTCCCTCCAGCATCGTGGCGAAGATTCCATCTCCTATACCCACAACGTCTTTTTCGGTCTGCTGGAATTTTTTTTATTTTATTTTTTATTTTTTAAACGCTGGAAAACTTCTGCGAAATGTGTCTTTTTTTTTCTTTTTTTCTTTCCCTTTAAAACTGATATATATTCTTCTCTCAATCTTGTTTGTATATATTTGCACTCATCTATCTCATCCTCTCGCTACTCTGGGGGGCTCGCCACACCACTGTCGAAATGGGAAAAGTGCGAGTGCACCTTCGTCAGAAAGTTGCAAGATGCATCGGTTGCCGTTCATAGCAACGGATGCATCTGGTCACGCGCCGCGGGAACATGCACTTGTACTTTTTTCGATTGGACAGTAGTGTGGCGAGGCCCTATGTATAGTACTGTACTGGGGAACACCAACCAAACTTGCATCCTGTTCCTGTCTGCGCTTGCTGTTGTGCGGGTAAAGACGCAAATAACCCACTGACTAAACTGATCTCGACTGCCGAACCTCTGTTTTTTTTTCGTTTCTTTTGTTTTTCTGGCTGATTACACTGTGTGAGTAGCGATTCTTCATTCGCACGTCCTAACATAGGGCGTCGCTTCGCTACTCTTCAAGTGTGCAAGATACGACTAGAACATGGAAAGATACATTGCCATCTCTTTTGTCTTTTGTGCATGTGGAGACTAGTCTTTTTCGAAAGTAATAAGCTATATTCTTCTCTCGTTTATCTCATCTGCCTGCCAGTACTCATCTATCTCATCCTCTCGCTAGTCTATCTATAGTACGGGGATGCAGGGGGGAACACCAACCAACCCAGATCTCTCCCTAGCCCACGGGGTAGGTTGGCACGACAGCAGCCTAAGTGGTGCAAGAGCAGGGCTATACCAGTCCCTCATCACGGTGATGAGGGGTGGGCAGGCATTGCCGATGGGGCAAATCGACGGCAATAATAGCGCCGAGCAATGGCCAGTCACTGCACCTTCCGCTACCTCCTCCCCTCCCCCCCAAAACCTCACATGGCGGTGTCTAATGGCCAATATTCTCGCCCTGCATAGCAACCAACAACATCAGCCAAGGTAAGGTCCTGCCAATGTGCAGGGCCTACCTGCGCTACTCTCCACATGCAGAAAACAAAAAAGATGGCAATGTATCTTTCCATTTTCTGCCTGTGGATTCAGTCTCGTGTTGTCCATTTTTTGGAGAGTAGTACAGCCAGGCCCATATACACAAGGAAAAAAAAAAAAAAAAAAAAAAAAAAGGGAGATGTTGTTTTCCATGGGCTCACCAGCCAGTCCTTCGGGACATCCAGCCGTTAAACTTAGAAGGACACAGAGAAGAAAGATTAGCATGCTGCCATGCGCAGCCTTTAGGCAAGGATGAATCAACTCGAGAAATGTAATCGCGAGCCTTGTGATGAAGCCTGTCGCCAGTACCGAAGCAGCGAGCTCAGAATATACTCGCCGTTACTCGGGAAAATTCATAAAACCTCCCCCCCGCGACGAGACCTTCGTATGTTAGGGGGGGAAAAAAAGTGCCGCAGGTCCCAAAATCACTTTGACATTACTGAAGTGCTTTTCCGAACGCATTTGACCGAAATGCCGGGCAAATTACGTTGAAAAAGACTTATTTATGGCACCCTGGGCTTACCTGTGCGAGAAGAGAGTTAGACTCTGTCTATACACATACATGGTCGTTTTCCTTCAATCGAACAGAAACGTACATCTATATATTCATATACGCACAAATTCCCCCGTAAACCGTAGCCAGAGCGAGAGAAGAGGACATACCTATAAATATATAGAACTGACCCGCCCGGGTGAATCGGAGGTGGAGAGGGAGAAGAGGACAACAAACGAGGCACTGTGACAGACTGTTTATATATACATACATATATAGCTGATACAAACATATATAGTTCATTACATATGGTGAGGGTGTTTAGGTCGTCGTAGGCGAAGCGCCAAGACCAAACCGATCCTTGACGTAAAGATATGCCGTCACAATTCATCGAGTAAATGACTGATTAATTCCTTAACTAAGTAATGAATTACTTAATTAATTAATGAGCCGGCCTATTCCATTGCTTACCCTCGTAGCGTATTAGCCCCTCCAACCACCTGCTGTCCCCATTCCAATCGACGATTCGATTCAAATCCCCGACCGGATTATCGGGGCTAGGTCCCACTTACACTAATTAAGCGATATTGGCCGTAGATAGCAAAGATCAACGGCCAAAATCTCTTAATCCGTGCAAGTGGGACCTAGCCCCCGGTCATTTTTTGGAGGATGCGCCAGACAAAAGATACGGTCGATTCATATCGTGACGATCTATTTCCTTGTTGGTCTATTTCCTTCTTCCCTCCCATCAAAGCCGGACTGTGGCCACTGGCCACACAGGCGGTTTTTGTGTTTTTCCGTTGTAAGGAACGCTCCGGTCTATTGGTGGGCACTGGACAACCTGCTATGGGAACTCAGCCGATTCAGTTGCTGGAACTAACACAGACTGTCGTGCTGAGAGTGCCGGCTGAAGTGGAAAGAGGGATCTGAACAGGAGAAGCAGGAGGATAGGAGGAGGGAGGAGGGAGGAGGGAGGAGGGAGGGGAGTTGGAGGAGAGGAGAGGAGAGGAGAGTAGGCCCAGTAGGGGAATGGAAAACAGTCCGGCTGGACTAGATCGTTCTGCTGAAGCCCGTGCTAGGGCCGCAACTGTCTGCATGGATGAAGGATCAGGGATTCAGGGGCAAAGCCCTCGGGATCCGTATTGTTCGGGAATAAAAAAAGAGGAAAAAAAGAAAAGAAAAAGAGAAACTCTCAGGCCACGCTCCCACTAGTTGATTATTGCAGTCGCCTATTTTTCCAAATTTTCCCCTTTTTTTTTTGGCCTGATCTATTCACGTGCACCTGCCTCCCGTTCCGTGTGATTTGGCATCATTGATGTGTTCGTCGCTGAGTCGACGCTGACTTCTCTCTCTCTCTCTCTCTCTCTCTCTCTCTCTCTCTCTCTCTCTCTCTCT